ACTTTTTTATTGTAGTTGTTTATTGGACTTTTTTATTGTAATTTTTTTTATTATTTATCATTTAATACTTATTGTGTTAATTTATCATTTAATATAAGTTATTGTAATTTGGTTATCATTTATAATTTAATACTTATTATATCTTTAATATCAATTATTCGTTAATATAACGCCAACGTCTAATCTCGTATAATTGTATCGTTTTTTAAATATTCATCAGCGGTTATCGAATAACATTAACTTGAAGTAAATGCAAAGTAAAGTACAAGAATTATTATTTGATAAACAACTACATCATTTCCTCATCAATTGTTACTTGATGACAACAGAAGTATACATGTTTTTCTAGTGTGTCATGGGTTTCTACAATGCCCACATCTTCTGTCTTGTCTAGATCTTTCTTGAATATCCATATCGCAATGAATTCGATTGGATTTTGGACGACCACGCTCCCTCAATAAACTCAGATTTGGTACAATCGGAAGTTAATCTTGAACCTCATCAGGGTCTTTGTCATTATCTATGGGGGGAAACTCAAATTCGCATACCTTAAAAACTTCAGATAGTAGGTATACGGGATCCACAAAACGGTTATAGTCTTGACGTGTATGTGAGCAAGCTACTATCACATGAGAGCAAGAATACTTCAGAGCTTGAAAAAACTCACAGTCGCACGTTCTGTCCCTTAGATTTACTCTTAACGACACAGCTTCAATCCCTTGAAGAGGTTGCAGCAACTCTGTTACACGAAACATTTCATGCCTTCTAGAGAAGCTTGTTACAGGCATTCCGTTTGATGCAGTAATTTTTTTCTGTATATCTGCAACTAATCTAGGGTGATAGACATGATCGCTTTGCATCCAGGTTTCAGCTTGTCCCCCGAGCTTCGCAAAAAGCGCCCCCAAACGAATATATGTAGTTTTTACCAAAGCTGCTACAGGTAAGTGACATGCACCCTTTAAGGTTGAATTGATTGTCTCAGCCAAGTTGGTCGTCATGTGTCCATATCGATATCTACCATTATATGTGTTCATCCACATTTCTTTATCGATGAAGCTGATGTAATTGTATGCTTCCTCGTTCTTCGCCCGCAAATCTTGAAACATTGATTCAAACGTTCGAGGAAGTAGTTCGTAACCTGATAAAAAAATATATAACTTAATAACTTGATTTCTTTGCAAAATTAAAATGATCAAAAAAAAGTATAACTTACTAACTTGCTTTCACTTACCCATTCGTACAATTAATTGACGCTCATCATTATTCTTGTACCTTCCATGGTAGTTCGCAATAATGTGTCGGAGACAATACCTATGTTGGACAAAAGGTGGTTGTCACATTGGACCCAAAGACTCCATTGCTGCTTGATCCCAGCTCTGCGATCTGAAATGACACAAATTTTCTCCCTCGTGATAACATGTGAACGTAAGTTTTGGAGGAAAAAAGCCCAAGAATATGTATCTTCTCCTTCGACAAGAGCAAAAGCAACTGAAAAAATATTGCGATTGTCATCTTGGATAACTGACAATAATAAAACTTGCTTGTATTTTCCATACAAGAAAGTTCTGTCGATCTGGACAACAGGCTTGCAGTATTTGACAGCATTAATGAACTGTGGGTAAGTCCAAAAAACCCGGTAGAATTGGCATCGATTGCGTAAAACTTGATCATTATGGTATGCATAGGAGGTTTGGAAGTCCACAATTGTCCTAGGATTCAACGTCTGCACCAGCCTAAACCAACCTGGAAGTTCGTTGTAAGATGCATTACATTCGCCATGAAGTTTGACAATGACATTTTGTTTTGCCAACCAAGCTTTTTTATATGAGACATTGTACCCATATTGCGATTGTATAGCTGAAATCAACACTGCAACAACTATATGATAGATTGCTTTTACCATGGGCATGATGACTTGGCATATCACTTCAGAGTCCAAGTTGAGATGATCTTAGTTGACCCCTCCAGCACAACATGTGTGAGGACAGTTGTACATTGTTAGTTCCCATTTGTTGTTTTTCTTTTTCATCTTCGATACGCGAACCATCCAATTGTATCCGTTTTCGCATCGGGCACAGTAGCATATATATTTTGTTGTCGTGGAGCGGTCGACTCTGGACTGAACAAAATTATGGATATTGTAATTTTTTATAGCTATCATCGCTTCTTCCTTGCTTGAAAACTCCATGCCTAATGATAACTCACCATTATTTATTGATGAGTAATATCCATAGTCACCGAGATGAGGCATATCCGTAAATTCTGGCTCGTACATTGAATCATAATCAGCTTCATACATGTGTGCTGGAGGGTCAATTTGTGCCACATTTGCTGGAGCTTCATCTACATCATCATCACCATCGGAGTTGAATTGCGGTGATTCTGGGTGAATGAATAGTCCAGTCTCAGCACCATCCGCACCAGGCTCACGAAACGGTTCTTATGGTGGAGATGATGGTTCCTCCATGCTCTCCACATTTAGGTCGAAGAACCTACTACTGGCATGTATTCCCCTTGAACTAGAAGGCATATCTGGATTAAGATCGAAAAAACTCGCAGTCGAACGTCTTCTCCTGGAGCTTGAAGTCATCGTGTCAAATAGAGACTGCACAGATTTTTGCGTCGATGACATCTCCATATTAAGGTCAAAGAAATTTGCAGATGAATGTCTTCCCCTCGAACTGGATGCGATGTTATCATACGGATTATTCGTAGACCCACATCGGTATATATCGTAAGGAGTTGTGGATGAATGTCTCCCCATTGGAGTTGATGTGCCGACACCATAATGTGGATTTCCTATTATGACATTAAAATAATTACACATTACTGTAGTCGGACTGTCAACTTGTTCAGTCAGCCCATAGTGTGAGCTTAATCGCTAACCCCGAACAACACGCACTTGAACAAACTTTGCATACATCTCAATATCGCCGTCTGAATAATTACTTTGAGAATCATCCATCATTTCAACATCATCATTATTCGATAGTTCGAACGTTGTATAAATTAATGGCAACAATGATGTTGGAAATATGTACTGCAAAGACGACATTCTTCTACTACTTCCAACATGAACCTTCATCGAAATCTTCCTTATCAGCTCCTCAAGAGTTATGTTTCTCTTGAATGATATTTTAACACGCTCATTTGATAAGAAAACAACGCCGGTTTAATCTTCTCGAATTTCTCCATCATAATAAACAATAGCTGAAAATCGCATCATTCTTAGAATTTAAAAGTGCAACAATATTACATCTGCAAAAAAACAACTGAAACAAACCTGATTAAATAAATAATATATGACCAAAAATATAACTGAATAAATTTTTTACACATAAACGTAAATAATTTAAATAATATAATTTTATATTATTACATGTGCCGCAAAAATATTTCGACGTATGCTCCCACTTTCTAATTCTACAAACACATAAATTAATTGAAAACAATTAGTATAATATTTTTTTTCAAATAATCATATATAACTATAAAATAAATATTATAACAAAATTATCTTATAACGAAAGATTGAGCAAACTTCTGAATCAAATATAAGATAATTGTCAGATGTTATTTACTGATTCAAATGATTGTTAGTAAGAGAGTTTACGGGAGACTGCTATTTATAGCCGAGAGAGGATGCCTTAAAACCGAGAAGTTTGGGAAAATAATGCAAGACACGATCCTTGCACCGCGCCTTGCATTATGCATGTTTGATAATTGAGATAATTCGTAGGCGTATGACACGGCCCCTATCCTGCGTCATACACACACAGGTGTATTCATGTCAACATAAGACACGCCGCAGGAGGGGCGCCTTATCCCACGTGACGCTAAATCAACGTATAACGCGCTGTAAGGGGTGCGCCTTACTACAAAAGATGTTAGATCGAAAAATATTATCTGATCAGTGCCTGATCGAGAATATTAAATTAAAAAAATGATTTTTCGAGAAAAACGACTTGATTTTGGTTGGCAAAACTATGTATTTAAATATCGGTAAATTACATATTTAGTAACTCAATAATTTTATTTAAAATTATATTTAACATTATATTTTAAACATTAAAATATTAACGGTAATATTGATATATCATCATAAAAAAATAAAAAAAAAGTTAGCACTCCAATAATTTTAATTTTTTAAAAACAAATAATCAAAACAAAATAAAAATATTACTTTAAATATGATTTAAAAAATAGTTGAGTAATAAAACGAAACCAAATGAATAAATTCATAATTTACCCTTTAAAATCTTGAGAATTATTTGTATCATATATAACACCAAAACAATTTCGTAGTTAAATTTAATTTTAACAAAAATTCTATTATCATTACACCATAATCAAATTTGATTTTCGATATTGAAATTCATTAGTGCGATAACCTAATTTTGCCGAAACATCTCAAATCGAATTTGAGGGCGATTAAAGACCAATTTGAAGTTGTCTGCATCAAAGAAAAATTAATACAAGTGATATTGATGGAAAATAATTTATGGATCGTTTGTATTTGATTAAGCGAAATCATGGAGAAAAGTTGGCGATAAAGGTGGGCTACAAATTTTTGCTTAAATGGGTTGTAATCATACATATTATTAATCTTGGGAACTTAAGGTCCAAATTAAAACTCCCTTTTTTGGAATCTTAAACCCTAAACCCAAATCCATTTAGAAATTCAAATCCTTCGTAAAATGTCCATTTACTTTTTTCTTAAAACCACAACCCAATTCTAATTGCATCAAACTCTTATAACCCATTATAAACCCATTTAACATACAATTAAAGCCAATCTGGTAGCCCACATAAGACCCATACACCCATCAACCCAAATATATCTTAAACAGAGAGAGTACATGGAGAGGTGGTTTTGTTCTTTACCTAGTTGGTCGGTCTCCTCGTCGGAGCTAGGATCGTCATCGGGGAAGGGAAAGACAGTCGTTTTTATCGTCGTTCGTGGCTTGCATGTAAGTTTTGAGCCATTGTTTTGTGGTCTAGATTATAGAGAGAGGGAGTTCGAGGGTCATAGGTGGTTTGTCTTGGTAGCCCGACCACCGATGGTGGTGGTTGGGGAGTGAACGCGACTGACTCACGGTGTGTTGGGGTTTGGGGACCCTCAGTCAAAGGGGAAAAAGGGGCTAGGAGAGAAACCTTGGGTTTGGTTTCGTTTTAGGGGGAGAGTTAGCTCTCCCGGTTGGTTCGGCTCCAGTCCGAGCATGATCAGTGGCCGGCGTCTGGTTTGGGTGTTTAGGGAGGCTCACGACCGAGTTTAGATGGAGAAGGAGAGACTACTCAAGAGAGTAAAAAAAAATGTGTTTTTTTTAGTTTAGGTTAGATATTAACCAAAAATAGCAAAAAATAGCATATATACTTAGAGTTTAGGTAAAATACGCTTAGGTCCTCCAACTTTAGGCATGTTTTTTTCATTTAGATCACCAATGTCTCTTTCGTTTTATTTATTTCAGAATTGTCATGCTTTTTTGTTTGTTTTCAATTTAGTCACCATTTGAACTATTCTGTTTTTTTAATTAGCTACTATTTTTTTATTTTATTTCAGTCCCTTGTATTAAAATATTGATATTAAACATTTAATACGGCTTTGTGGTGACTCATCCTGGGGTATGATTCGTATTATTATGGTCCAGGTAAAATTCTAACTTTTAACCACTAACTTATTAATTTACTAACTTCTAACTTCTCATTTATAAAAATTATTCGGATTAATCTATGATTTCGTTATAACCGGTATGGGATATGATTCGCGTTATTTATGGCCCGGGTAAAATTAAAAATTAACCCTTAACTTTATTTTTATTCGATTGATTAATTATTATTATTTACATTTTGCATTTTAAATTTATGTTATTTTAATTTGGCTTGATACCCCAAATAAATGCTCAAACTATATTCCCTAATAGGAGCCTACAATATCTTTTGGGCCATTAAGGTACTTAACATTATAAATGTTACCACTTTAAGTGTCCGGACCATCAACGACATTAATTTCCTTCTTTAAGTGACGTGTCATAATATGATAATTTTAAAAAATTTATATAAAATTATATATTTTAAAAAAACACACACATAAATTTTGATATAACCCTAAAATTTTGAAAACCTTCATTTCAACCCCTAAATCCACGCCGCCCATCGCCCTTTGCCATCAACGAAGCTCCACATGACCTCACCTCCCCCCGGCGGCGACAAAATCCCCTATGAAATCGTGATCAGTCGATAATAAATCGACGTTTTATATCATGTGAACCCTATGATGAAAATCGTGATCCCTCACGATTCAAATGGCCAATCGACAACAAATACAACGACTTATAACTAGGATGGTGGCAGGGATTACGTCAACGGCGGTAGTCGTGGTCGAAAAGGGCGACGGCGGGTTAGTGTTAGGATTTTGAGATTTTATGCATTTTGAGGTTTTTTTTGTAATTTAAAAGAAATTAGGGGTTTTCTTATAAATATAATAATTTTTTTAATTTTTAAAAAAAATTAATTTTAAAATTATCAGATTATGACACATGTCACTTAATGGAGAAAATAAACGGTCGTTGCATTCCGTGTACCTAAAGTGATCACGTTTATAACGTTAGGCACGTAGATGATCCAAAAAAATATTGTAGGCACCTATTTGGGGAAAAAAGTATAGTTTGGGCACTTATTTGAGTATTAAGACTTTTAATTTATGCTTTTAATTATCAATGTTTACATTTTAGTCCACTAATTTCTAGTTTAATTTTTTGCTATTTTGACTTTATATTTTGTTTTATTCCATTTCAATCACTATGATTGCTCTTAGATTTTAATCATGCATTGTTAAATTATTTTAATTTAATCCTTTTATATACTTTAATTGCTTTGAATATTTCTTGTTAATTTTGCTTCTTTTTAATTTAGCCCTTGATAGCTTATTGAGATATTTGATTAAACCCTTAGATTTAGATTTATAATATTTTAGTTCTAATCTAGATTACTTTATCTTTAGATTTGGTCTTTCGATTTAGATTCCTTTTAACTCAGTCCTTAAGCTTTTTGTTTAGATGAATATTCAATGATTGATTAAAATTGTCTAGGTTAATAATTAGAGCCTCCACTTTAGGCTTAATTTCATACTTAGTTCTTTAATTTAGGGGAATTTTTAATTTGATCATCACTTTTGCTCGAGGTTCCATTTTAATTATTCGATTCAATAATTGATTAAAATTTACCAGGTTAATAATTAGAGCCTCCACTTTAGACTTAATTTCACACCTAGTCCTTTAATTTAGGGGAATTTTTAATTTGGTCCTCACTTTTGCTCGAGGTTCCATTTTAATTATTTGATTCAATAAATTGATTAATTTGATTCAATAAATTGATTAAAATTAACTAGCTTAATAATTAGAGCCTCCACTTTAGGCTTAATTTCATACTTAGTCCTTTAATTTAGGGGAATTTTTAACTTAGTCCTCGCTTTTGTTCGATGTTTCATTTTAATTATTCAATTCAATAACTAATTAAAATTGACTATGTTAATAATTAAAGCCTCCACTTTAGGCTTAATTTCACACTTAGTCCTTTAATTTAGGGGAATATTTAGCTTAGTCCTCGCTTTTGCTCGAGGTTCCATTTTAATTATTTGATTCAATAAATTGGTTAAAATTAACTAGGTTAATAATTAGAGCCTCCACTTTAGGTTTAATTTCTTACTTAATCTTTTAATTTATGGGAATTTTTAATTTGGTTCTCGCTTATGCTCGAGGTTTCATTTTAATTATTCTATTCAATAATTGGTTAAAATGAATTAGTTCAATATTTAGAGCCTCTACCTCATGCTTAATTTCATATCTAGTCCTCTAATTTAGGAGTATTTTTTTATTTTGTCCTCGCTTTTATGCTCGAGATTTCATTTTGGTTATTCGACTCAATAATTTATTAAAATGATTTGGATAATATTAGAGCCTACATTTTAGGTTTAATCTTTTAGGTTCTTTAAGTTTCATAATTTGATACTTTAAGTTAGAGGGAAGCCTTAATTAACTCATTTAGTATAATTAGGTTTAATTTCTCACTTTTGCTCGGGGGTGGCCGCTATTGATTCTCGAAGTAAATCAACAGCCTTTTCAAAACCTCACATCATGATTTCTAAATTATTAAGGCAATGTTCGTTTATTGATGTTGATAACGAAGCTTCCGCTTATGCTTGGAGGTAGTCGTTATTGGTCTTGGTAAATCAACATCCTTTTTAAAATATGCATACATAGTGGTTTTTAAATTAAATAAAATTTCAAACTCAAAACTTCCAAATATAAAGTATAGGGCAATCGACTAGGTACCAATTTTGGGCACTGTGGGGGTGTTAATCATTCCCCACGCGTAACTAACTCCCGAACCTGACTTCTAATTTTGTAGACCAAAACTTGGCATTTTTAGTGAAATAAAATATTTTATTAAAATTAATCGATTTTAGGTGTTCAAATCTCACCTTAAAAAATGATTGGTGACGACTGTCATCTTTTCATCAAAACCTATTTATTTTCCAAAATGTCGGATTGACCTTCCACCAAAAGTCAATTACAACAATTAGACTTTAGTTTTTCCTTATTTTTTTTGTTGCTTTCCCGATTTTCAGGACTTTGGCCTAACTTATCTACGACCTGTGTCACACATGACACACCTAATTTTAGTGGACGAGTCTCCTAATGAATATTTTCTGCATACATAAGGTCGCGAACTCTAGACCTATTTAAGCGATATTAAATTACTTATGATTTGAATCAATATCGGTGATGATTACACTTTAGTTACACATCATAAAAATGGTGTGATAGACTTTAATAAAGGAGTAGTATTTTTTTATGGGATTGGAGAAGCGTTTGTAAAGTAGTAGTAAAAAATTCACATGTAACTAGTGCTTTAATAATGTGAAGATTTAGGTAAAATGACTCAGCGATCCCATCCCATCCCATCAATCATTGTTGGGTATGGTATTGGAGTTAATTCAAGCTTACCAATTAGTTGAAAGAAGACCCAATTCATGAATCATCACTTTCAAATGCCACTCTAAACTACCAAATTTCCAAATTGCTTCTTTCCCATTCTAATTTCATTATAAAAGGCGTTTAAACCAAAATATCTCCCATTCAAAAAATTAACAGAAAATTATATGACTTAACTTTAGGTGATGTATTGTTTATATAATTAATTTTTTAATATTTTTAATTATAACATTGAACTTTGTTTTATATTTCAATTATATAATTAGATTGTTAAATCGTTAACGACAGTGCCATATCAAAATATTTAAGAATTGAGGGTCCAAAATTTTAATTTTTTTTAAAAGAATGAATATGTAAATTTTTTTATTAACATATTAAGCTAACCAATTTTTTTTAAAATAATGAGAATTCAATTGACCCTTAGGGAACTTAATGCATCTACCCTTGGTTAACGACATGGTAAAATGGCTAAAGATTGCCTACGAGAACACTCATTTTGATGTGACTGTTTTAATGCTCAAAACAAACCAAAAAGGACATCATTCGTTTTATTAGACAAAAATTAAATTTAAAATTAAACATGATCTTCACAAGAATCTAGCCAAGGCCCTTAAATCTAAAACTTACATTTGACCACCAGGCCCACTTGGGGTTTTTGAAATATTTGTACACAAATAATATATATCTTAAATTGGAATTGAAATTAATTCTAAAATCCTAAATAATTCAGGAATTAAATTTTATTTTTCTATTATCTCTTTCTTCTTTTCTTTCTACATTTCGTCTTCGTGAATCTCTTCCGAAGCTGAAACATGGATATGATCATAACAATATATGAAAAATATAATGGGAAAATTTGGGCTGTCCCTGGGTTATTTAAGATTTTAGAACTAATCATAGTTGCAGTTTAAGATATATATTATTTGTATTTACGATACATACTCATACATCTCTGTTTATACTTATATTGTATGAAGTACAGTAGAATATAATAATTTAAGGGAGTTTATGAATCTAAGTGTTCG